TTCGCAAGGCACTGTATTTATAAACATATATAAATATATAAAAATACAAAAAGGTTAGTAGTGAAAAGTCAGAATCCGAATCAATTACAATTGTGAGTAACAGGAAGGGACAAACTACGAAATATTTTTGGTGGAGGTAAATCTTAAAAAAAAGGTCCCATTTGTTATTGGTTAAAATTTTTTTTCCTTTGGCTTAACTATTAATTACACATAGTACCTTTAAAAACAGCATTGTAAACTACATTATGGTCCAGAAAAGTTTGCCTGGAATCCCTCTGTCTAGACAGCATTCTCCCCTGTGTCAGCTGAGGCTCCCAAACACATGGAAGGCATCCACACTGCAGCAACAGCTGACCCAGGACGATCAGACAGTCTGACCACACACACAAGTTTGCACCATCCCAAACATTTTAGGGTGGAAGCTGCGACGGTCACACCTGTCAGTGGGACATGGACAAGACAGAAGAGGAGTAGCAGTGAAAAGACGATGTCTCTCATATGGCTTGGAATGGAAATGCATCTTTCCTCAGACTGCTGCCTCCGAGACCCGACCCCAGAGGAATCCGAGGAAAATAAATGGATGGCTGAATGAATTATGAGATCTAATTTGGAAACATTTTAAAATAAATACGTGTAAGACCACAGTGCCGTATGCACATTTAATAGAGGAGTTTGCCACATGTTTGTATCTATGGAGATGCCTGGAATATTACATATTGTGACATTAAACAAGTTTTCAATTAATCAAAAAATGCATTCAATGATATTTTTTACGATTGATTTATTGTTGCACAACCTGGTTATTGGCTCGAGACTCAGCAATGCAATCTCTTCTGAGCTTACACAAACAAGCCCTAAAGATAAAAGGAACTGGCAAATTGTTGAGAAATATATATTATTGACATTAAAGAGTGTACAAAATTGTCCCTAACGGGCACCCTCATCACTAAATGTATTTTTGAGAGGGTCTGAGGGAGTCGGGCTCAGATCCACCAGATCCACATCCAGGGTAGGCCGTTTTGTGAACTTTAGGTCTGCCTCAATTGGACAGAACTGCTTCTCTGTCAAAGCAGCAGGGACCTGGAACTCACTACCCATCTGTGAAGGAGCAGATTGTAAACAATTATGTGTGTTGTATATATTGTGTCTCTTTGTGGCAGGTAGCGTTACATTTTACCTTATTTTCCATGCTAATTAGGCCACTCTACTTAATTCTACGCACACTGTAAACATGTCACTTTGCCTCTGCCCAAGGACTACAGTTGAAAATTAGCTAGTAGATAGGTCTGCTCTTTACACCCTATGTATTGTGCAATGTCCCTGTCAACTAAAAAAATCATATATATTCATATATTTTGTAAATTGTAGTGGAATGTATGAGCAGCTCTTTCAAGGTACTTTCAAAAAGTAATTTAGTAATGTAAATGGATAAGAGAATAATCAAGAAATGTATTGTATAATTGTATCTATAGCACTCAAAACAACAAAACAACAAAGCATTTGGCCCATTGCTTTCTGTTATTTCACTTTAGGCATTACTTTTGTCTTATTTTAGTTTCATCCTGGATGAGTTGCAATTTCTTAAAAATTATTTATCCCCTAATTTGGATAGGTGCAAATGACCACACTCAAAGAAGAATTACTAAACGTGACCAATGATGTGCCAGGTCGAGGAATAATGTAGGACAAGAAAATGTAATCCCATAAGAGAGAAATGCTCTCCTTATGCTTTAAATACTGCAATAGAAGGTTCAAAAACAACTTCACTGTGTCATATCCCACTTTAATCTTAATTAAAACACTTACAATGCAGGGTTATTGCTAGAAATAGAAAAAAAATTGTCCGTCTCAAAACCACTTTACAGGTGACAGAGCATAGGTCGGCAGTGGTTTTTCCTTAACACACTGGTAAAGGATAAATAAAAAAATATATACAATAGGTTTTTGAGAGCAGGGACAAACAAATCTTTCATTAAAAAAGTAGAAGCTTATAGTTTGTTTTTACCAACTATAGATGCTGATCTCTACTTTGTGTGGGATGGTGCTCCATCAAACAATAGCGTCATACTACATAAAAAAGGACCCTGACCTGGCAACGCGGGTAGTTGTAAAGGATCAATAATAAGATATGTACAAACAGAATGGCAAATACATTATTCAAAACGTTGAAAATGGCAAGTAAATGTCATAGTATACAAATCATTGCATAAAAGTGTTACTTTAGAAATAAAAGAAAATAGTGCATTAGAGATTATATGTTATACATTATTTTTGTCCCTTGAACATAATCCTGAGACTTTTTTTCTTATGACATGTATGTTCATTAAATAGGTAGACAATATGGATACACATGTATAATGCATGAGGACAGGATCTCGGAATGCAATTTTTCACTTCTACCACCAGATCGGTGTTTCATTGTTGTCATTTGTCACCATCAAACATTGCATGCAGAAATGGAAGACGTCTTTGTAAAGAACCTAATTTTACTGGAGAAAACTAATTTATGGGGCAATACTTTTGTTTCGAACAAAAAAATGCTGTAAGGATTCCTCAAAACGTACCAAGTTAGAGATTGGAACATTACAAAACGGGCAGAGGAACACATGTGTGCTAGATGTGACTGATAATAGCTTGAATGGAGCTCAAGACAACTCCAGTTCCAAGTTTAAAACATTTTTTTCCTTAGTATGAAATATTTATTCTGGTACAACTAGCCTCAGTCAGAGCAATGTTTGGGAAAAAAGGGAAATAACACGTAAACCATTAGGTCCTACTTAAGAACGTAGACATTTTTTCTTGAATATTCATATCTGACTCTCATTGCCACCTGTCTCCCTGAACCCCTGCTGCACACCCAACATCCATATGCGTCCAACACTCATCCTGTGCAAATGCATTCATAACATGTTCAGTAATTGGGTGGGAGTCACACCTGTCTCACAGATTTGGCAGCACTGTGACAGATATAAATAAAACATCAGGGCACGACAAAGTGGCAGTGTCCATTATGACAGTTGAACATAAGCTTTTGGTTAAAATCCCCTCCCAAGTAGATATTCGTGGAAAAACAAGTTAGGGCTGGCTTCTTCTTGGGAAATGGCTCAGAGTAAATGGAAAGCATTCAGGCATTTCACAGTTAAAACGGCCAGGCTCACACGTATCATACTGCCACTGTCACTGAACAATCGGGACACTTTGAGCACTTTGGGTTCTTTTTCAAATTACACCAGGTTCTGGCAAACAAAGGAAGGACGTTTATTTGGTGTCGCGAGGAAATTATCATTTTTCACAGAAGTTAGAAAGTGTATTTGGTGTATTTATTCATAATGTCACTTGATTTGACAACACAACACTCTTATAAGTTGGTATTAACTAGTGACCTATCAAGTTGTATGCTAGTGTCATTTCCAAATGTATTCTCCAAACAACATTACTGACTTTCATCCTTCTGCTTTTCACAACCCACAGCATTCACACTTCCAGACATCATCTTTGCGAAGCTAATAAACATTCATAGCTTTGGGCAACTCTTTTTATACGCGCCATAACATAGGCACCAGATCCGTCCCTCATTGCACAGTCAGCATCATAAATAATAACTTCAATATGTGATCTGCATACCCCCAAAAGTGCCAACTTTAATGAAGACTGATCCTCCATAAAACTATTGCATCTGCCACCCGCCTTCTATTCCAGACCGTTTATCCACGTCACTAACCCCACGGATGACTTACATTGCAACTCTCTCGCTCTTTTTTTCTTTTATCAAGTAGACGTTTTTGACAATGGCACTAAATTGGGTTGTATTTTTTGCTTTGATGTTGGATAGTTCCTAATATTTCAACATAGCAGTATAGGTATTTCTGGTTAGTTGTTTGTTATTTGTATATATTCTAAAGTGTATTCTGCACTGCATGGCTTTTTAAAGGGTTACTTAATCGATAAAATAAAGTTCTTGCTCTTGTCATTGAGGTCAGTACATAATTTCACAACACCTGAACAGCCTGGTGTGATTCACAATTATGTAAGAGGGAGCAAAAAAAGAAAACACATCTTCCATAACCGGCTTGAACATGAGAAAGACATTTTTCGAACAACAATTGTATTTGTTATGTTGGGGTGAACAAAGCGCACATCCGTCATCAGTCAAATCAAAGCAATCAACAAATCATAGGACATACAGTATAGTTTTCAGTCAAGAGTGCACAAGGTAGATATTTATACGACAGTCAGGACATCTGGTCTAGCGTGGCTTATTGATCTGAAATCTTACACCCTGAAATATAACTTGCAAACTGTGCCTTCCTTTAGTTCAAAGTAATTTCACCAATTCACAACCAGATACATTCCTAACAATTGCACTCATCTATGTAGATTAAAACCCATTCAATATTAATTCATCACCTTGGCTTTCACTGCTAATCCCCTTGGCCAAAGCGGGGTTCTCTATCAGGCACCCACCACAATCACCACCCCCTCCTCCCTTCAGCGTTGCTGTCAGGCTGCCCCATCCAGGAACTGGGAGAAAAAAAAGCCATCTGGTGTTTGTATGGGACAGGCAGTCCAGGAGGATGCACTGTTTGGAGTCATGAGTAATCATTGTGCCACATATATGATCACATAGTGTTCCAACTTAGGTGTGACTTATGATGAGTTCATTTGGTGGGAGCATCAGAAAGAGGCGTGTGATGCGCCCCAGGTGTTCCAGATGACTGTTGTCTATTGTAGTTTAACAATGGCAGACACGACTTGACTATGCCTTTACCCTCATCACTGTGTTAATCTGTGACTCAAGTCCAAATATGACATTAACCTAGTTCACCGTGCGCACAGCTGTTCAGTGGCATCTGCTATAACACACCAAAGATTATCAATGTTACCAGCTCTCCCCTCTGTATAGCTTCAGACAGCCACTTTGCTCAAGTAGTCTCATACAGGAGCACATGAGAATTTACCAGTAAATCAAAGGTTACTTCATCTCTCTTGAGGCTACTTACCAATCAGGGCACAGGCAAGGAGAAGCCGGGGCGCACTGGTTGCCATTGCCCCAAAGATCTATCACTTGTAGTATTCCCCTTTGGATAGCGAAGTGGAGACGAAGAAGGGCTCTGTCTTTAGTCTGCCGCGCTGGCTCCTGTGGTTAACCGCTTATCCTGAAAGAATCCCAAGCGACAAAAGATAGTCAGGGGGTTCGTGTTTGAAAGTCAAATGAGGTGTTCACCGCTACTGTCCGACTCTCGCTTTCACGCGTCCTGCTGCGAATGAAAAGAGGGGAAAAAGCTCCACGGTGCGCGTCCGCTCTCCTCGCTTTCACCCTCACCTATCTCCGTCTTTATCAGTCAATGTCTGTGCGTAGAGATGTATGGAAGCCGGGCTTTTAGGCGACCCAGCCCACTCCTCCTCGTTTACTACGCATCTGAGACTGCGGAGGCGATTCTCCCAGCCAGCCTCAAGAACAGAGCGAGCAGCGCCAAAGTCTGTGATGGGTAGAGCCTCCTTTAACAAGACTTTAGAGAGCGCAAATCTTGATGTCAGCCCGTAATAAGCCGCCCTCTTTCCTCCACTGATGAGAGAGAGCAAATCAGACTAGTCCACAGCGGCTCCTTCCGTTTCTCTCTCCACGGCAAATCCCGGAGACTATCATCAATCTCTCCCACTATCGCTCCGCAGAAAGCCCAATGGGCGGGCGCTTCAGATAACGCACACTCGGGCTTTGTGCGCTCACACAATAAGTCTGATTAATCAATACGACAAAGCTATCGGAACATAGAAGTCTCACTTTGGTAACGAATGTGTAATCACCTGCACACAGGAGCTCACCTGTCCTGTACTGAGAAAAAGTGCGTGTAGATACAATATAGGGACAGGGCGCCGCGTTTGCTTGCTCCAAGGTTAATTTCGTGCTTCCTGCTTGGTTTGGCACTTTGTTTGGTCAGGGCAGTTTGAAAACTTAGCAGCGTGTTGTCTGTACCCTCCCCCTTTGCAAAGCCACGCCTCGCGCGCGTGGATGGCTCTTTGCGCAGAGGGAGAGGCCAAATGATATGCAAGTCTGTCCACTTGCTCCAGAGGACGCTTTCAACCAAGTGGAGGGTATCAAACAAACAAATCATAGACATTTTCTCACAGTTGTTAATTGTTTGGGGTTTTCAGCATGTGCAAATATCTAATATATCGAATCTAAATATCAATAATAAGGATTTACATAGCGCTTGTTTGGACAAGACATCAAATTGATAATTCACTCGATACACCGTGATGATAAATTACAGTAGCCACAACTGCCCCGGGGCAAACTGACAAATGAAAAGAAACCAGTATATGCCATCAGCCCTCTGACCACCACCGAACATTAACGCACCAGACTTGTCCTTGGCAAGTTGGCCATGTTAGTGAAGTATCTTGCCTAATAACACAACAACAGTTTGGAACTTTAGAGTCGCAGCCACCCCACCATGGCACCTGGTGTTTTCAAAGGTCTCCCATCATAGTACTAACCAGGCTCTGCCCTGCTTACATTCTGAGATCTAACGGAACCAGGCTTTCACATGCAGGTGGCGCCACGATTATGTTCACACAAGTGAGCCTACGTCAGAAAGGTTTGCACAATGCATGGTCAGCCTTAGCCTGGTCGTACCACACCTTAGTACAAATTACAGTTCATACTAAGGTCTGGATTTGCTCCATTGAGCTCCGTGAACAGGTGGAAGGGGTTAACTCCTTTTGCAGATTGAAACGATTGGATCTGAGTTTACCGTGACGTATGTAATGCGCCCGAGTCTGTTGTTAGCATTTAGCATTTAGCCTAGCCATCTCCTTTGCCGCTAACGGAGCCCGTGGGGAGTAGCGCCACAATCTTGACCAGCGATTACATTTGCTAAACATTCCTCTTGCTCCTGCTTCAATTTCTTGATAGAACAGACCGGATTACTTTACTATTGCATTCTTCGCTCTTGACGTCACCAGCGCCGACCTACAACACCTGCCGTCACCAGCGCCGACCTACAACACCTGCCTTCCGTGCTCGCTGAGTAGCCGGTCGAAATACGACCGATTGTATTCGCTAACACAGGGACCAGACCCAGACGTTACATGCAGTGAAATGATGATTGAGCGGAGTGTACGGATGGCTATTGCCAGGCTTGGTCAGCCTCAAAATCCACTATCTTTACTTTACTGATCCTAAATATACCAGTTTTAAATTATTTCTGCCTTGAGAAGAAAGTGTGTCTTTTCATAACCTTGTGAATGCTTTAGTGAAAATATTCTAACTTAATTCTAGTGTACAACTGTAAATTTTATTTTTAAATGTTTTGCATGATGGTCAAGCGGCTGCACATAAGCCAGTCGAGACACAGCAGCTTCAGTGTTGATTACTGGCCTTGGCTACATGCAGAATGTCCTGTGCTCTATTCTATTTCACTCTGTCCTGTCCACTACAGCCTGCGGGCCAAAAGGGAAACCATACACTAGTAAGAACCATGTACAATTTGAGTTTATACAATTGTAAGGTTTGTTTTAGACAGTATTACATACTCATAAGTAGCTCTAACCACTGATTTGCCCTTGCACATTGTTTGCTTAAAGAAATACAAACAAGCAGATGCAGTTGCAGAATATGCAGGGATAGCTGCAGGGATTGTAAACCTTTAATTTACAGGATTTCCAAAAGTCGCACAAGGCATCAGTAAGATGACCATGAATCACCAAAATGTCATCCTTTATTCTCAACAAGTGAAACATGTTTATTAATACAAAAGGGTTTGTATTTATGGCGTTGTCATGCAGCGATGACAAAAGTCACCTTCTCATCCACAGCATTCATTTAGCAGCAGTGGTCTAGACAGAGCCCCCTCCCTCACATTCACACACACATATCTTCACACCCCACTCCTGCAAACAGAGGACTGGCAATCACAGTAATGAGCTGCCAGTCTGCTTAGGAGCTCCTTCATGAAAGAGAAAACACCAGCTCCTCACCATGTGCAATTTCAGCAGAGAAACTGCCACATTTTTTTTCCTTTTGGCCCAAGAATAGTTTAAAGACATGATGTGACAGAAAATATAAATCATTGTTTTGTGAGAAGTGTGATGTGGTACATGGTAAAGACACACATTTTCAATGCAGGCATATGGAATTCACTTTGTGATGAAAACTAGTGCAATATGAATGCTTGTATTTCAGACACAGTTGAACATTAAAGGAGCTATACCCGTTTCTGCAAGGTTGGAATGTTTAGCACCGCCCCTCAACTCGCTCACAGGTCTCTCATTTACCCTACGCTCTCCTGCCACGGAGCCATAGTTTTATTTGCGATCTGATACATATGCAAACATTAGCATGAGCGCAACTTCTTGTAAGCTGTACAACAATCACTGATGAAATGGTACAAAAGCAACACACTGCTAGCAAAACATTTAACTTAAAGTTTACCGCTAGTTTCACGTCCAAATGTAGTCCGAGGCGGACCGCTCCTGCAGGTCTCTCCCATAGACTGTAAGTCTCTCCAGAGGATACGATGTAAGCTAGCTATGTTCACCCTGGCTTGATTTCTTCTTTGATAATATTTTCGCTTTAGTTCCCTCTTCTCTTGCTCACTATTGTGTCGTTTGGACTGTTTTGCTGTGTCTGCAGTTACAGCAAGAGGAGTTATAGCCAATTCTGCTAACATGCTACTGTGTTTACAGAGGACAGAGCCTGTTCGTAGCAGCGCCGCTCCTCGTTCTGTGAGTGGAGGAGAACAAGCGTCAGCACTTTTTACGGCCTGAATTCATAAACAAGCTGAATCAATGAGCTCAAGTTTTCAAAACATTTCGGATTATAATAAAACTTGTATGTAGTAATAAGCATTTTTATTAACTCATTACAAAAAAAATGGGTATAGCTTCTTTAAGACAACGCATCTAAAACAGAAGTTTGTAATGGATTTGAGGCAAAACAACTTTAATAGTGTGCATTCCAAAAGGTATTGGATCATATGAATGTACTTTTAACAGTAACACGTAACAACCATGCAGCCCCTGCATGTTTCCATCACAGACTCATAACTCGTCTTCCGTTCGTATGTTCATTTATTAATTATGTTAAACAAAATATTTCATGCCTTGTACTAATGTATGGGATGAAAACATTAATATTTCATTATTTCATCATTTATGGAACTTATGCAAGTTAGAGTGCAACATATTGCAAGTTTAGGAATTAATTAGACAACTCAGGGCTTGAGGGTATAGGGTTATACGTAGATATATGTGTACAAACATAATTTCTGCCTTTGTATGAGTTCACATTTGACATATGGCTCTCAATGTTATTATAGCCAATTTATCCCATGTGCCCCTACACACGTGACATATTGAAAAAGTAATTCCATCAAAATTGCATTTAGAGAACAATAAATGTTTTACAGTTGGGTTTATTTGCTTGCAGAAGAATGTAGCCTCTTGCCAGATGGCTTCTGTGCTTGAATGGAGTGCAGTGTGAAGCGGAGTCTACACCACAAGTGGTTCGTATTTGCATTATATGAGCTGCATTAAGTGGTAAAAATGTCACAAAAAATGCACCAATCAAAACTTGCAAAGCGCAGACCTCCACCAAGTGGTCCTGTCCCAATCCTGTATCCGGATGACCAAAAGAATACATATGTGTATACATTTGTGATAACCCATATGTTTGAAACAAAGTTTCTTGAAAACTCCACAGTGAGGGAAATAAAGGGTCAGATAAATAGTGTGCCACCAAAGTGTTTCAGTGAGCAGATATTTCAGTGTTTGAGCAGAGCCAGAGAGCCCCTGCTGCAGCCAGAGCCCCACATCTCCTTCTCTAGAGGAGGAGGCTGATACATGCTACATGAATGAGCTTGCATCGCCACAAACGTGACTCGTACATGGACCTCGATCAGATTGTTTGTAAGGAAATTTTCCTTCGTGTGCAATCTTCCACAATATGGCATTTCCGTGGTATGGTTTTCCGTTTTTGTTTCCATAGAATCATGCAGTAAAAACCTTTACAAACTATACAAACATTACATAGGCCTATATTACATGTGACAAGGCGGCACGAGCGGACGGCGGTGGGAGCACAAACACAGGCAGTCTTGGTGGTCCAAGTTTTTTTTTCTTTCTTCTTTTCTTTTTAGTGCAAAAATATCAAAATATCAAAATGAATAAATCCAAAATTCCAAATTGATTTAAAAAAAAGTGCAAGTGCATTGGAGGATTGTAGAAGTTTAGCTTCTCCAGCAACACCACCTGGCGTGACCGTATCAGGCATCTTAAATACCCTCTGTGTGTCCGAAGTCTATTTTTTAGTAACTTTGGAATGTGCTATGCTATGCTATGTGCTATGCTATGGAAGCAAGGCTATAGTATTTATTCTGAAGAACTGTATATTATATGTATTCACATGTTACACAGGCCCATGACTTAATGAAACATGCTTGATTATACTTTCTCCATGTAGCGTGCAATTTAAAAGTTTCTCCACACAGCTTTATAGGCAGAGTGGACACGCTGTGGACAAGGTAGGCCATATGCACTACACCTGGTCTACATAAAGCATGGCTCCTAAATTTAGCCCGGTCTCCTTAGACTGCTTCACCACAGCCTTGTGATGACACACTTAGCACAGGCAGCTTCAGGATTCAAATCTTTACACATTTAGGACAAGATCACCTTCGACCAAGTAGCACTATCTCAGGCAACTCCGCACAACATCTGAGCTGAGATGGTTCTGAGATAAAACGCTTCAAAAGAATGTTTGCAAGAATCGCAGTAGCTTGGGATGATAATTGGTCTCCATGGAAACAGGAGACTGCATTGTATGTGCACTTAGAACAGGGTCCATCACCTAGAGATAGTTGAAATCCTGATTAACACTATCCCTCATCAAACCTGGCCGCCGCGATGGGATTACTTTATGTGGACAGATCTTAATATTTTAGCAGTCGCAGAGCGTGAGTGACTGGGGTCGCTGATGTTTCACAGCAGCATGGCCTTAAGAGAACTCCATCTGGAGTCAGCCAAAGGTTTGTGCATTTATTGCATCATTCACACATTTTCATAGCATGTCCCACAAGTATGTGAATGATTTATAGGATTTTGCTCTGTGCAT